AGAGGTAGCACAGTTGGCATTCCCATTCATCAGGTGACTTTGTAGTCATAGCCAGAAGGATCTTAGTGAAGTCTTGGGTCTGCTTGGTGCTAGCAGTGGCTGCAGCTCAAGCCTGTTTGTCTTCTGGGCTTTCTCTGTGCTTATAAATCCTCTCTGCCACTGCCAAAAGCTCCAGCAGAGTCTTATCTGCCAATCTATCTAGTTTCTGTAATTTGCGCCTAATGTCAGGCACTGACTGGTTACAAAGGCCAATGTGACTGCATTCTTGTTTTCTGGTGCCTCTGGATTCATGCGTGTATAAGTGAAGATTGCCTCAAGGATCCTATCTAAAAAGGCTGCCAGAGATTCTGTCTTTTCTTGCTGCACATCACTAATCTTAGCCAAATTAGTCGGGCGCCTTGCAGCAACCTGGAGACCCCCCCCATTAGAGTATGGTGGTAGACCCAGAGCCTCTCCTTACCTTCTGCCACATTATAGTCCCAGTTTGGTCAGGTTAACGGGAAGGCTTCATTGATCAGCGCCTGGTTGGTGGTGGGATTCCCATCCACCCTGGGGGATCAGCTTCTGGGCCTCAGTTTGGATCTGGTCCCTCTCCTCAGTGGTAAATAGAGCCTGTAATAGCTGCTGGATGTGGTCCTAAGTGGGCTGATGGGTGAAAAGAACAGATTCTAACATCAATAAGGCTCTGTGGTTTCTCAGAGAATTTGGCTGTTTGCAATTTCCAATTGTAGAGGTCACTGGTGGCAAATGGCCAATATTGAATCTGTTGGTCTCCTGCCTCATTAAGGGGTCCCACTGCCCTTAAGGGAAGGATGGTGGAGTCTGCTGCTGCTCACAGCTGTCCTCTCTGGACCCTCCTCCAAGTTTGGGGAGGGCTCTCAGCCCCAGGGGCCTGGGCTGCCTCAGCCTCTCCTGGGGGCTCTGAACTCCCCAGTCGTGCCAGCAATGTGGGCAAGTGCGTGCAACACACACAAACAAGAGGACAAAGACACTTACCGGCCGGACCAGGCTCAATGCTCCAGGGGGCCCTGTTGGGGGGGGGTCCTTGGGGATCCCAGACAAGCCCCCAAATATTACGCCCAGATCTCACAACCTCCAATGACCACCAATGCAGTGGATCTGTACTGAGAGCCCCGATCTAGGGTGGAGTAGGCTTTTATAGGGAAGTTTCACAGAAGCCCGTGCGAGTGCCAAGCATCCTTTAAAATGATTGGATGGTCCTACGCCCTGAGCAAGGGGAGGATTCTTATTTGTAGGGGCTGTCTTTAGGGCATTGGAATGTGCTGACTGTTATCTGTGGGGCCAGAAGTTTTTGTTTTTACCTTATAAGGCTGTTATATGCCCGGACTTGCTTGATCTATAGCTTTCCGGGATGGAGGTGGTAACTAAAGAGTACAACATGCCTGGGCATGCCCAGGCTTGCCTGAAACAGCTAGTCAAAATGGAGTTAGTGCCACCCTAAGCCAAGCAAATTACAGAAGCAGAAAGAAGTGGTTAGACGAGTCAGGGTCCCACAGAGCATAAACCTGCAGCCCTCCTCTGCACCATGTGTTTTCTTTCTTCTTTCATTGCTGGTGTAGAACTCTGGGCTACCTGTGTGCCAGATGAGTGCTCTCCCACTGAAATTCACCCCCAGCTCAAGGCAGCGTTTTCTAAGCATCAGTTGGACACTCACTATAATTCTAGAAGTTGAGAAAATACAAACAGACCCGTAAGAGAGTTTTCTTGCCCTGGAGAAACATGATCATACTAGAAAGCCAGACTAGTAACAGGAAAAAATTTGAAAACACTACAAGATAACATTTCTGTATATATGTAAGTATGTATTCATTTATTAAATTGCTTAGGCTGGTCTCAGGTTCACTATGTGACCCAACTTCCTCTGCAGTTCCTGAGTCTCCTTGCCTCAGCCTCCTGAGTAGCTGGGATTACAGGCACATACCACCACACCCAACTTCTGCAAAATTATGTTTAATCAGAAACTGCTAGGCAAGTCCAACCTTTTGATATTAAATACAGTGTTATCATCTACAAAGCACATGCTCAAGAGAACTCTCATAGCCATGAGATAAAGGTACTTTAAAAAACACAAAAAATTCTCCTTATCTTTTAAGTAAATTTATGATTTTGTGTTGGCCCACCTGCGTAGCTGTCTGCAGGTTGGACAGATGGCAGGTGTGGTGCCATATTGGGAGACACATTTATTCTTTCTGGACCTCAGTTTCTATGTTAAATGCTTTCATTATCATTGTTTTATTTTGTTTCTAAGCAGAAATATTACTCCCTTATCCTTCGAGTGATTTTGTAATGCTCCAATATAACAATGTAGCTGCAGTTCCAAATAATATTCCAATGTAAGGCATTGTTATTACAACTTATTCCAGGTCACTACAGTTATGATTATTACTATAATATTCAGAGTTCATCCAGACCTGGTGGCACAAGCTGTAATCCCAGATACTCAGGAGAATGAAGCAGGAGAATTAAAAGTTTAAGGCCGGCCTGGGCTACAAAGTGGGTTCAACACCAGCTTGGGAAACATGATTCTCTGTCTCAAAGAGTGAGAAGAGGACTGGGGCTCTAGCACAGTTGGAGAATCCTTGTCTGGAATGCATGAGCCTAAGCTCAATCCTCAGGACAAAAATAAATTGATTCAGGGCCGGAGAGATGGCTCAACAGTTAAGAGCATTGGCTGCTCTGGCAGAAGACCCAGGTTCAATTCCCAATATCCACGTGGCGGCTAACAACTGCAACTCCAGTTCCAGGGGATTCAACGCTCTTTTCTGACCTCTGTAGGCATTGCACAACACAGATGCACCTTCTTACATGCAGGCAATACAATCATACACATAAAATAAAAATAACAAATAAAATATTTTAAAAAATAAATGCTAGATGATGATAGTAGAGAGACAGATGACTGACAGATAATATAGATGACAGATGAATAGATAAGTATATTATCACTAGATAATAGATGATGTCTAGGTAACAATAGATATATGGTTGATCAATGATATTTAATAGATGATTGATAGAGAGATTAGATAGATAGATAGATAGATAGATAGATAGATAGATGTTGATGAATGATAGATTATTGTGGTTGATAAATGGTAGATAGATAATAGATATATGATAGATAGACAGATGATAGAATGAACCTTAGAATTCAAAGGTAGGGAATGGAAGGTCCTGGTACTTAAGGAGCCTCTCCACAGTTAGATAGCTGGATGAGTGAGTGAGAGAGAGAAAGAGCCCCTCAGAGTTCAGAGGCAAGGAATGGGGGTTCTTGGGACTCAGGGAGCCTCTCAACAGAGGAAAGTGCCAACTTTAAAGGATGTGCAGGATTGGGAGTGGGAGGTGTGCAGAAGGAGCCCTGGCTGGTGAAGTAGAGGACAGCCTAAAGGGCAGAGGTGAGGAGAGAGGATTGAAGGCTATGAGGCAGGAGTGGAGAAAGTGTGCTGAGGAAGGATTGTCTGGGGGAAGAAGAGAATCTGTACTTGCTTGGGTGAAAGACTGGCATAGGGCTTATGTCTACAGCAAGAGAGAGGTTAGTACTTCCTTTGTTAAGACTAATGGTTTGGCTAGGCATGGTGGTGCATGACTTGAATCCCAGCACTCCAGAGACAGAGGCAGGTGGAGCTCAGGATCCAAAAAAAAAAAAAAAAAAAAAAAAAAAAAAAAAAAACCCTAAAGGTTTGCTTTTAAAAAAGGACATAAAACTCAGAAATTAAATGTCCTGTGTTTAGCATGGTGAGTGGTGCATGCCTTAAATCCCAGCACTCCAGAGGCAGAGGCAGGTGGATCTCAGGATCAAGGCTAGCCTTGGTCTACATAGGGAGTTCCAGGCCAGCTGGGGATACAAGGAGACCCTGTCTTAGGAAAAAACAAACAAACAAACAAACAAACAACAACAACAACAACAAAACCTAAGGGTTTTGCTTTTAAAAAAGGACATAAAACTCAGCAATTAAATGTCCTGAGTTTAGCTGGGTATGGTAGTACATGCCTGTGATCCCAGTAATCAAGAAATGGAGGCCAACCTCAACTGCATATCAAGTTCAGGGACAGCCTAGAACATATGAGATACAGTCTCAAGTAACAAAAACAAACAAAACATGCTAAGCATTTTAAAAGGTTTCCTTCTCTGCCCCTTCCAAAGCAACATCCTATTCATCAGGTAAGTACATTCCTTCCTCCAGGCTGTTACATCCAGTCCAGGGACTGGCAGATAAACACCCCAAACTCCTGGCTGAATTAAATCCACACTTATCGCTCATCATCACTTCTCCCCAAATCCTTTGAGCTGCCAGTGACCTCATCCTACACAATCAATGGTCATCTCTATGTCTTCATCCTTGACCCCTGCTAAGTTTGTGCCTGGTCCTTACTCATTCTCCATTTCACAGAAACTGTATTGTCTGTGCAGCGCTGAGAACAGATCTGTCTCCAATTCCCAGACAAATAGCTCCAGGATTCTGCCTGTAATGTAAACCAGTGAGATGTTTATTCCCATAAGCACACTGTCCTTTTAAAACACTAATGCTTCTTCGGTGGCTAAAGAGACCTAGGACTTGCATGTCATTAGACATTATTCTAATTAATTATTTCTCCTGCCTATTTTCACCTATGAGCTACATGTGAAGGAATGAAGGGATGCCTGCGTTTGACAGTTTAGATGGAAGATGGGGGAGGCACTCAGGAGGCTGTGGTCAAAGGAAGGGCAGAGTGAGGATGTCAGGAGTGGGCCCACTTTTCATTCTTTTGCTAAAACTCCAGCACATATCCAGACACTCCCCAGCCCTGGGCCCTCCCTCTGACAGCCCCAGGAGGGAAAGATCTCCCCTTCCTTCTAGCCATTTAAAATAAAAATAAGGGCTGGGGAGATGGCTTGGTTAGAAAAGTACTTGCTGCACAAGCTTGAAAACTTGAGTTCAAGCCCCAGAATCCTCTTAATCAAAAAGCCAAGCATGGTGGCACATTTTTTCTTCTTTTTTTGATGACTGTGACCAAATTTATCCCTGAGCCCAGGCAAGGGGTACAGGTCCCATGAATCACAGTGTTTCTATGGCAGCCTTTTAGGTGAATACTTGCTGTTGGTAGGGTAGGCAATGAATTTGACATGGATGCACATGGTGGCACCTTCTTATAACCCCAGCACTGGGGAGGTGAAGACAGGAGGATCTCTGGGGTTTGCTGGCCTACCCAGTGAGGCCCTGGTCACCAAAAGACCCTGTTTCAGAAACCAAGGTGGACAGTTCCTCGAAGGATAAACAAGGTTGACCTCTGGCCTTTACACACACACACATACACACACACACACACACACACACACACACACACACACACACACACACACAAACTACTTTCTTCCAACCCAATCCTGTGGGGCTCCCAGGAGGATGGCTTTGGCTCCTTTCCAGGATAGATCTCAGAGTTTCAGTTGCGACAACTACAAATTACATCTGTCCTCCCTGCCGGCCTCATTCATCCACCAAAAACCACACAGCATGGTTAGCAGCCAAGCCCTACTGATAAAAAAAAAGTGGACCTCATTTAGAAATTTAGCTTCTGGGCTCCACCTGTTCTGGAATGTTCTGAGAGTGTAAGACTGAGTCAGGTGTCAGCAAAGTGAACACTTCTCTCTTCCCTCATTAGCCCCTAAAATAACAACATCTGCCCACACTTTGTCCTCTCAACAAAGTAGCAAAGTTGCTTCCGGCTCTGCCCCTTCGACTGGAGTGACCTGCGGGAGTGGGAGGGTTGGGGTCCACTGAGTGCTCACCGCCTCTGGCTGAGACCTGTCTGCACATTGCCCTCTCTGGTTTTATTCCAGTGCATTGGGCTGAGGGCCACGGCCTCCTTTGGCAGACCTGTGTCCCTCTGGGTCTCATCTTTGATAGGGAAGGAACAATACTCCCTTCCCACAGGAAGAGTGGGCAGTTGAACTCTGGTGGAAGGCCTGCCCTGGTCACAGGCACAAGCCGTGGTCTCTGCTTCCAGTAGTAAAGTTAGGATTCCTATTAGCCCATCCTTCAACTGATTCAGAACCAGAAGTGGGATGGCAGTGATTGGCTGGTGTTTCTACTTTGGTAGCAGCCTCCAAGGGAATTGCTTAACACAAATGCTACCCCATTGCTTGTCTGTGCCTTCCAAAGAGCAAAACTCTATTAGGATTGCCAGGCCTGGTGCTGCAGGTATAAAATCCCAGCACTTGGGAGGCTGAGGCAGGAAGGCCACATGTTCAAATCACAGCACAGACTACAGGCTTTTAAAAAAACTGCTCTGATATATTTTTTTTCTTGTTTTTGTTTTGAGACAGGGTCTTTTTGTAGCCCTAGCTGTCCTAGAATTCATTATGTAGACCAGGCTATTCTTGAACTTGCAGCAATCCTTCTGCCTCTGCCTCTTGAGGACTGGGATTACAGGCCGTGAGCCACCATGCCTGGCTCTAATACATTTTCTTAGTCGTACTGTTTCTGGATCCACTTCTAGTGATTAACTTCTGCAGCCCCATTTGAGAGACTGGACCAGGCACAGACTCAGCAGGGGTCAAGGATGAAGATACAGAGATGACTGTTGATTGTGTAGGGTGAAGTCACTGGCAACTCAAAGGAGCTGGGGAGGCTGGGTGTGGTGGTACACGGCTTTAATCCCAGAACTTGGGAGGCAGAGGCAGGTGGATCTCTGTACCCATCAGCCATCCTCTCTCCATCCTTCCTGGTCCACACCTACCCTAGGCTCTGGTATTCTTTACCTCCATGTGATCAACTTTGACTTCCACATACAAGTGAGAATGTGTGGTACCTGGCTTTCTGTGCCTGGCTCATTTCACTTGACCTAATGCCCTCCAGGTCTACTGACAGAGGGGAAAAACTTTAGGGTTCTTAGTCTCAGTCATAAAAGAATTTAGGAATGGACTCAAACAGAAATTTTAGGACAATTTTATTCCAATTTAAGGAAAAATTCTCAGGGCAGGCAAACTGAAAATCTCAGCAACTGCCCTTGAGGAAGAGAATAGAGGGGAGAAGGAAAAATAAAATCTATGAAGCCATGATGGTTTAGAGCTGGCATGGAGATCAGACATGTGGAAAACTAGCAGCCACATGGTGAGGAGCGGAAGGGAACTTTAGAGGAAAATGTAAAGAAATCCAAGATGTTGGGGCAGCCCAAGTTAGGGAAAGCATGGTTAGAAAAGAGATAAGAAGAAAAGAAGGAGCTGGAGAGATGGCTCAGTGGTTAAGAGCACTAGCTGCTCTTGCAGAGGACCTGAGTTCGTTTCCCAACACCCACATGGTGGCTAACAACCGTCCATAACTCCAGTTCCAGAGAATCTGACGCCCTCTTCTGACCTCCAGGCATTGTACAACATGAGTGCCCTTACACACAAGCAGGCTGTATACCCATATACATAAAATAAAAATAGTAAATAAAATATTTTAAAAAAAGAGGTTATGCTTTTCTGAAGAACTCAGAAAATTCAGGGCAGGAAAAGTTCACCATCTCATTAACATTCTAGGTATTCCACCCACCTCTTTGGCATGACTTAAGGTGAACTTGCCTTTCTAGGGTTGTCCTCTGACCAGCAAAACTGGAAAGTTGGGTCTTTATCCAGGCCAGAGATTTTATTCTCCTGACTAGCCTTCTCCCAGGGGGCTTCTTTCTACTGTGACATTACCACACTGCTGAAAATGATAGGATTTCATCTTTTTTTTTTTGTCTTTTTGAGACAGGGTCTCCCTGCAACCCAGGCTGGCCTGGAACTCACTATGTAGACCAGGCTGGCCTCAATCTCACAGAGATCAGCCTGCCTCTGCCTCTCTCCCGAGTGCTGGAATTAAAGGCATATGCCACCAGGCCCGGCAGCATTTCATCCTTTTTATGGCTAAAGAATACTATAGTGTATAGAGTCCATATTTGCTTAATGCATTCATCCATTGATGGACACTGAGGCTGACCCCATGTCACTCTTATGATTAGCGCTGCAATGATCACAAGGCCTGCAGCTGTCTGGCAGCGTGATTGCATTTCCTTTCAATACATACCCAGTCCTGGGACTGCTGGGGCATACAGTCTGTTTCCAGAGATTCCATCCTTTCATCCTGGCTGCACTGATTTACATCCCCACCAGCTGTTTCTGCATTTCCCTTTATCCTCATCCTTGCCTGCTGTGTTAGCTTTTATCACTGTGACAAACACCCAAGCTACACAGTTTAATAAGAGGAAAGGTTTATTTTGACTCACAATTTCAGAGGCTTCATTTCATGATGACTTGGCCCATCAGACTGGACCCCATCCTGATGGAAGCCTATGACTGAAGGAAGTCTGTTTACTCCATGGTTACCAGGAGAGGGTGAGAAAGGCCTGGGATCCCAACACCCCTACATACTGACGGTATCACCATCAATCATATAACTTGCTTCTTTGAGGCCCCACCTCCCAAAGGCTCTATCTCCTTCCAGCAGTACCCCAGACCAGTGTCAAGTTCCCAGAGGCATAGGCCTCATGGGATAGTCTATGTCCAAGGTAGAACCCCAGTATTTATTGTCTCCAATCTTTTTTATAATAGCTGTAGCAGCTGCATGAGATGATGTCTTGTGTAGTTTGCATTTGCATTTTCCTGATGTTGAGCATTTTTCATTTTTTCATATTTTTGCTATTCTTTGAGAATTTTCTCTACAGTTTATTACCTCTACTTGTAATTTTTGTTGTTTGTTTTGTGCTGGGAGTTTCTCTGAGCTTTTTAATTTGTGTGTGTGTGTGTGTGTGTGTGTGTGTGTGTGTGTGTGTGTGTGTGTATACACCTGTGTCTGTGCACAAGAGTGTAGTACCTAAACAGGTCAGAGGTGTCAGATGTCAGACCTCCTGGAACTAGAATTATAGATGGTTGTGAGCTGCCATGTGAGTATTGAGAACCAAACTCAGGTCTGCTGCAAGAGCTAAAACCACTGAACCATTTCTCCAGCCCTAGAAGCTCTTAAAAAAATATTTTTTGAGACAGGGTCTCAGGGTCTCATATATTCTAGGCTGGCCTCAAACTCACTATGTAGTCAAGGATGTCTTAGGACTTCTTTCCTCCTGCCTCCACCTCTCCAGTGCCAGTATTACAGACATGTGCCACCATGCCCAGTTTTTATAGTGCTAAAGATGGAACCCTGGGCTTCATGCATGCTAGGCAAGCATTCTGCCTACTGAGCCACACCTCAGTCCCTGTGCTGTGTACCTCAAGCATACAAAGCATGTGCTGTCACTGCATTACACTCCTTGTGTTACTTATTTTTAATTGTATTGATTTGTTTTGTTATTAACTTGAGTTTCATATGTACTCTGGAAATTAATCCCCTGTCAAATAAATAGCTTGTAGGTGTTTCCTCCCATTTTGGGGGAGGAAACATTTCTTCCTCCTTTGTCACACAGAAGCTTCATCACATTCATCAACTTTGCTTTGGTTGCCTATGCTTTGGGACTCATATCCAAAAATCTGTTTGATCACACCAATGTCCTAAAACAGATATTCTAGTGGTTTCAAAGTTTCCAAGTGTTATAGTTAAATCTTTGATCCATTTTGAGTTCATGGGTTTTTTTTTTTAATTTTTTTTCAAATTTATTTATTTTTACTTTATGTGTATGAGTGTTTTGCCTGATTGTATGTAAGTGCACTTATGTCATGGAATGCCCACAGAGGACAGAAGAGGGTGTCAGATCCCCTGGAACTGAAGTTAAGGACAGTTGTTGGCTGCCATGTGGGTGCTGGGAACTGAACCTGGGTCTTCTGCAAGAGCAGTCAGTGTTCTTAACTGCTGAGTCATCCCTCCAGCCCAAGTTCATGTTTTTATATGATGAGATAAGAGACAAGTTCCTTAAGTTCCTTCATCACCGTTTATTAATAGAGACCTTTCTTCCCCTGATAAATATAACTGCTGCTTTGGGTGAAAATCAGTTGCCTGTAAGTACATGGATTTATTCCTGGATTTTTACTTCTCTTCCCCTGATCTATGTGTATGTGTTTATGCCAGCTCTGTGCTGTTTGGGTTCCTATAGCTTTGTAGTACGTTTTGAAGTCAGGCATAGTAATATCATCAGTTTTGTTCTCTTGCTCTGGCCATCTGAGATGGAAGCTTCATATAAATT